ATGCAAATAAGAATATAGGGATGATATAGCTATACATAGATCATCCCTACATGACTTTCGGTATTCAAACTTAACGTTACACTGTAAAATGCAAGAGTATCAAATGATTACGAGGTAGCGAGAGTCTGTAATAATCACGACGTTTTGACTGAACTCGGTTTTCCTTGTACAAGTCCTAGGCTCTTAGTTACACTACAGTGATGTCTACTCTGACATGACCATTACATTATGATAAACAAACTGCATATTAACAGACAGGAATATACGACTTCCAACTGCAGTAATATTAAAGTCAAGTAAGGATGATCTATCTATAGCTGTATCAAAACCAAGTCAATCAAAACGAAGAAAAGTGGTGAGAAAGTATGATTCCAAGTACTAAGAAATGGGATTTACATGGAATGGAGATGAAGAAGATCCACGACCACGATGTATTATTTGTTGTGATCAACTTGCAAACGAGAGCATGCGCCCAAACAAATTGCGTCGCCATATTGAGACGAAGCATCCCGAGTTGAAAGACAAACCCCTCGAATTTTTTGAAAGGATGCTAAGCAAGTTGAAGACAGGACAGAGCGTTATGCAACGTTACACCAAAGTTAATGAAAAATATTTGTACGTGTCCTACCTGATCAGTTTGAGAATCACGAAAGCTTGTAAGCCACATACAATTGGAGAGACTTAAGTTCTCCCAGCTATAAAAGATACAGTTAAAATTTTCTTTTGTGATAAGAGTGAACAAGAAATTGAAACAATTCCTATTTCTAATAACACGGTCACGCGTAGGATCAATGAAATGTCTCGATGGATAGAAAATCAGCTAATTCAAAGAGTTCGTGAAAGTACAATTTTCTCCTTACAACTAGATGAATCTACTGACGTACAAGGTCTGTACCAGCTACTTGTTTTTGTACGTTATATATGGAACTCCGAACCTCATGAAGATATGTTGTGCTGTGAACCAGTCAGTCGAAGTACTAGCGATGATATTTTTAAGACTGTTGATACTTATGTCAAAACAAAAGGTCTTGATTGGAATAAATGTGTCGGAATATGTACGGACGGCGCACGGGCTGTGTGGTAAAAACAGTGGTCTGGGGATTAAGTTCAAGTATTCTGGTATGATGCGTTTGGTGAAGGTTGCAGTGAGTCCTCGAGAGCTAACGTACTTCTGTGTGCAGAAGAAGTGATTTATGATTACTTCCCATTTCTTCGCACAACTTCTCAAATAAGCGCGATTGCAATGGCTTTGACTTTATTAAGTTCACTATTTTAATGGAAGTGTTCAAAACATTTTTAAAATCATCAGATATACATTTTGATACTAATGCTGCTCTAGGGGTAAAGTGCTAACAAGATTTACAGAACTCCGCGAAGAAGTTGCTATATTTCTGGAAGGTAAAAGCGATTTTGCGAGATATTTGCGCAACGAGGAATTTGTTCTGAGGCTCACGTATTTGGCAGATATTTTTTCAAAACTAAACGAACTGAATTTGTACTTGCAAGGAGCAGAAGGTATCAGTATATTCGCAGTTCATGAGAAAATTTGAGGTTTCATCTGAGGACGCTTCGTTAGAAACGAACTTTAACAGCAGAAAACTGATACAGTTCTGGGTGTCTGTTCGAAAACCGTACCCAATCCTTTCCACTGAAGCTTTGAAGGTACTTCTCCCTTTCTCATCTTCATATCATTGTGAAGTTGGATTTTCAGCAATAGTAGGAACCAAAAACAAATTCCGAAATAAACTTCAATTGTCAAATTCCTTACGCCTGAAACTAACCCACATTGATGTTGATGTCAATGCCATTCTTGACAGTAACAAGAAACAAGCACATCCTTCAAACACGCCTCATTATTAATCAATTAGATAGCATTTATAAGTTCTGGAAATGTTATTGAAAATACGTGAGTATTTTTAAATGTAATTGAAATACGTGAATATGAATAAATAATATTTTTTATATTCTTTCATATGTTTTGCACAGTAAATTTGAGTGGGTCGCCATAAGCTATGGTCATGAATAGTGGGTCGCGATTCTAAAAAGTTTGGGAACCCCTGGGTTAGAGGATAGGCAGCACACACTGCCATCTATTGGACGTCTTTTTCTTTTAAATAATGGGATCTCACTCTCACTCTGTTAGCACAAACATGACCTCAAAGTGCGAAGAGCGTTTTTGTGGAAACCAACCGCGAGTCATGAATCCTCAGATTCACAGTCCGTTATCGCTAGCTTCTAGGGTACGTCCTGTCCATTTACGATCGTGATGCATATATATCTATATTATGCAATGATGACAAAGATGAATATGAGGATAACGGATAATTGTACCTTTAAGCCATGATAGAATTGTAGGATTTACATGAGATAACTATATCAGGCTGGGATATCAGACTAAATGATCATGTATAAAACATATGTAATAACCTGCAGTGCATTCCGTTAC